CAGAACATGCCACACAAGTGCTTTTCAATAAGGTCACCAATTAACAGTGTTGTCTTACTAAGGCCTTTACAACTCGGATAAAATCAGGAACAATAGGGCATAATTACCACATTCCACAGAATAATTAGATAGACCCTACTGTATTCCCATAATTTCAGATCCATTCTGTTCCCATAATTTCGCGAGCATGATTTTTTTCAGTACATTATTTTTGAGTGATACCCATGAGCACCACTGCTTTATCAACCACAAACAACACATGGGACCTCAAAAAGAATGCCACAAATTCCACTTAACGATGGCATCAGGGTTATCCAGATGCCACATTTTGGATCCAATGAGGGTACAAGAAAATTTCTACACATATCTAGTGATATTGATTACAATAAATCTTCTATAAAATTTCATTTGGGCCCTTCTGAAGTAGGACTTCACCTGAAGGACCAAAAGGCCTTGAAAATCTCCAAGAGAAAAACACAGGATAAGTGTCATTAAGCATATTGCAAAAATGGAAGATTAATTCTTTTTAAGAGTAAGGAAATCTTGTTGAAAATAAATGACGATCTGTACAGGTAAAGAGACTTGCTGATTCACTTTGTTTTGGCCAACGAGGCCCAAAGTCTTCAGCTTTGCCTCCAAACCGAAGGGAAGCACTATCATAACTGAAGAATGTTGCTAGTTTTTGAAGTCTCGCTAATATATATTAGAACAAAAAATATGAATTTTCCCAAAAATCCTAACTTGCTAGTTTTTGGAAGTACGGAACTTTAGTAAGGATTTCTGCAGTCGAGCCTATTTGTTGAGATTAACCCCCTTTTTGGTAAGTCTTAGGAAATTTAACATCAATTTTGGAAATTTTAGAGTTCACATTCACCTATTTAGAAGATTTGAATTTATACACATATCTAGTGACATTGATTACAATAAATCTTCTATAAAATTTCGTTTGGGCCCTTCTGAAGTAGGATGAAGTCCCAAAAGGCCTTGAAAATCTCCAAGAGAAAAATGCAGGATAGGTATCATTATGCATATTGCAAAATGCAAGATTTATTCTTTTTATGATTAAGGAAATCTTGTTGGAAATAAATGACAAACTTTACATGTAAAGAGTCTTGCAGATTCACTTTGTTTTGGCCAACGGGGCCCAAGTCTTTGGCTTTGCCTCCAAACCGAAGGGAACCGCTATCATAACTGAAGAATGTTCCTAGTTTTTGAAATCTCGCTAATACTTATTAGAACAAAAAATATGAAGTTTACCGAAAACGCTAACTTGCCTAGTTTCTGGAAGTACAGAACTTTAATAAGGATTTCTGCAGTCAAGCCTATTTGTGGAGATTAACTCCCTTTTTGGTAAGTCCTTGGAAATTTAACATCAATTTTGGAAATTTTAGAGTTCACATTCACCTGTTAATAAGATTCGAAGGTACCATTTTCAGGTTTATTTATTTTAGTAAGACAAAATGAATTAGTAGCTAGCAATACAAATGTCAGATATTTAAAAAAGATTACCACTATTGAAGACAAGTCAATTGTAGACGAGTAAATAAGGTTGGGGAAACCTCCACTCATCCGTCTAAAATTGGCAAACTAATGTAAAAGACGTAAATATCTTGAGCTTAAATATAAAATAAATGATGTGCATACTTATTTTTAAACATGAGCATAGTACTAAGAGAGCATAAACACAGTTTCATTGTGCATGAGATCTTTTTCTTCTTCTTTTTGCCCTTTTTTCAATAGTCTTCCAAATTACAAGTATGAAATCAACAAGAAAAAAATGATGCTCCCTGAAGTTCTCTTGATTGGTTGTTCATCATTCAAGTCTTATCCCAACTATTTGGGCTCGGCTACACAGCTCTTGTTCCACCATTCCGCTCTATAATCATTGGTTTAGGATTCATGAAAGACCATACCTGTTTACAGTAAAATACATACATATATATATATATATATGTATTTTTTCAACTTCTATTTTTTTTTCATTTTTCTAAAAGAACACTTGAAGACTTCCCTCAAATTAGCCAAAGCGCTTCGCTTCCACAAACAGACCAAAGCAAGCTCCAAAGGAAACCTGATAACCCTGATTGTTCCATTAATTTCTTCATACTTGGAATGTAATTTTAATAAATTACCTACCTGTTTCGGTCCTTAATTTTGCCAGCATTCTTCCTTGGTGAATGGTAGTACAAGGATAACAAGTAAAGCTAGTATATTTACAGAAGATCATTGTCTCTTGATGAAAGATAAGAACAGGGCCATAGCGAAGGTGGTCTAAAGCACTGAATAAATGTTGAGATCCCAACTCAATGACTAAATCTGGCATTAATATGACACTAATTAGAGGTGGCATCTCTCCGTCATTAACGGGCAATAACAGCACTTGATTTTGTCAAGATCAATATCAACCATTCATCAGGAATAGAATCACCAGTCTCTCTAATATTAAGGATTCCAAGGGAATGAGAGTCCTAATTTTTTTCGTATGGAGAATAAAGAGACCTTAATTAGTTTGAGAGAGAGAGAGAAAGAGTGTGTTCTAAATTAGCTTCTAATGGATAAAGTCTTAAATTTTATATATGTTCTCTCGATGACTAGACATCGGCTCTCGACGACTAGACATCGGCTTAATGCTAGACATATTGATTTTAGTGAGGGAGGTCAATGGTTCAAACCTTGACGTTTGTTCCAAAAACCCGAAACAATCTAACCCAGCCTTTTTTATTCTGTCTTGGTAGGGTATTTTGTAGGGCTATATTATATTGGATCATCTCATATAGAATTTATTTAAGGGAAGTTTATCAAATTACAGAAATGAGCAATTTAACATATTTATTTTAATTTAATTTCAAAATACACATAGAAAAACACATGATCTTGAGTTGGAAGGAATAGTCGCAAATGGGCAAAATGTTAAATACTTCATTTGTAATGGCCATTCTGACAAAGGATGCAGATTCTGTAAGGCCAAGGCCATATGAAAAAAACAGTAAACATTCACCTCGAAACCCTGTTTGGAGAACACTTCGGGCATGAAAAATCCTTGTGATGGCTCTAAAATCTATTTCCACCTCCGACTATAAAATTTATAGCTATAAAAATGGTACAAGTCTTGCAGATCTATGAACACTTGAAAATGGACGGTCTAGATGATGTGTTACAATATACACTATTTTTAGGACTTGAAATCCTTCTTTTTTTAACAACAATAATGGTCAAGGTCGAGAAGATTGATTTGAAGGTTTTCTGATTGGTGAGTTCTAAGGTGAGGCATTACTTTTTTCCATACGGCTTAGGCCTTATTTTAACCTTTTAATTTGACAAATTCCCCTTTATTTTAAGGGAAACGTTTATATAGAGCCGAGGCTCTAAAAAATCAAATAAGACCCTACCACAAAAATTTCACTAGAAAAGGTTGTTTTGATGCCCCAAATATCCTCAAATTGTTCATCTCAACATCAAGACGCATGGACATGAGGAAAAAAATTGGATTTCAAGTTTTGAAAATAGTGTATTTTGTAACGCATTTTTGGACCAGCAATTTTCAAGATTTTCAAGTTTTCATAGATCTGTCGATCTACACTATTTTTTAAGCTTTAAACTTTATAAATAAAAATAAAAATATCTTTTAAGGCTATCACAAAGATTTCCAGTATTGAAACTACATTTCTCGACACTATTTGAAGGTAGGCTTTAATTTGATTGTTTAGAGCCTGAGCTCTATACAAACCACACCCTCATTTTAATTGTGGTCAACTTACATAGAATTTGCTAGAACTTAATATGTTTCTCATGGGATTTTTTTTTTAAAAGTCGGTATATATGAAATTTAATTTTATTCAGTTAAAAAATACAAATAAATATAATATAATATAATTTTACGTCGTTTACAGCAATAGGATTTATTTTTCTTGAACAATAAGTACATACATATATTTTCAACCAAAGGTATTTGTAAAATTTATCTGCAGTACCTATGAGAAAATATTTAGTCTCTTTTCAACTTTAGTAAGCTAGTGAGTTGTCAAGCCTATCAATTTAGAAACAACTTAAAATTTCAAAATACCTTTCTTATTTTTAAAAGCTTCCAAAATATTTAGCATTCTATCTTCAATATGTGTTACAATCTTAACTTTCTAAAGTTTAATCTCTTGAGCAAACATTTAAGACATTCCACTTTATGATAAGGTAAAAATATGAAACTTTTCAGCTGAATATCAGATAAACATATAATTTTTTGTTTAAATATATTTCCAATATTAATTGGGACTGTTCTTAATGTATCCAACCTTGAAATATAGCGTTAGATCAAACCCCAATAATAATAATTATCACCTATAATCATTAGGAAGATGGAAAGGATACTCTCAAGTTCATAAAGACAATAGATAGGAAATCCCTTTAGTGATCTCTTCAATTCCATCTCCATCACGACTTGTACACTATTGGGATTCTTTGACCTAATCTCAGGCAATTAAGGGTCTCTCACCCATGGACTCCCAAGCTTATGGAATTTCACTCTCTTTCCAAGTGCCAACCCATGCATCTCATAGGCTCTGGGCAATCGTACATAAAATTCCAATCACACTGAAAAATAGGAACAGAAATCTTAGGAATTCACAAGATTTCTCAGCATCAGATTTCTCTTATTCCTAACCTACAGCACATGGCACACGGAAAAGCCACAAATTGGAGAATAATCAATTATCATATCTGTCATACAAGACGAATGTAGCAGCTGGAATTTAAATGAAGATGCCAACTTCCAAGGGGACAACAAAAGAAACACATTAAAATAAACTTTAGTCTCAAAGATTACACAAACTCAATCTCAAAGATTAGACAAACTCAATACATAACAACATACTCACATATTCTGCATGAGAAGGAATATAAGATAATATACTTAAAACCTCAAACTGAAAATAGAGACAAATAATTTTCCAAAGGAACTATGCAGAAAAGTCCAGTGCAGGAATGAATAATGAACATCATACCTAGATGAACTTATTCGATTTCCTATCTATGAAGTCTTCTACATCAGCTCCTGCCTTGCAAAAAGTTGCCACAAGTTCTGGGTAAATAATACCAACTGCGTCTCTAAATTTCTTAGAACTACTTTTATCACCTTCATCAACATCCTGAATCCCATCTACAAGACATGCAACCTGCACGCCATCCATGTATGACCTGCATGCACTTAAAATAGCCTGTGCACGTGAATGAAAGTGCTCCTCCACAAGGGCCTCAAAATGCTGTGGTGACAAACAAGAGCAAAGAAGAAAAGTAATGGTTAACTTCCATCTATGACATAAGAATCACAAGCTTCAAAAACTTTTAGAACCACAAAGAGCATTTTAAAGTTTATCCAGAACATCTGAACCGCTATAATGACCAAAAGGAGCTGCTAGTACAACTCAACAAGCAGTTTTTCTTTTTTTGAATAAGTACAACTTAACAAGTAGTTGGAATAACAAAGAAGATACGCATTCATAATACTAAATATGGAAAGCATATAAAACAAATGGACAATGGAAAGCATAAGACCCGTGGAGAAGACATACATGTGAAAACCAATGGAAAAACCACAGTATATGTGCTTAACACCACCCATCATTTCAAAGCCCTGTGGTGGTTCAATGGACTATGGTTTTCTGTATATCCATTGGGATTATAGTAATTTCCTTCTAAATATTCTCAAAGCACAAACTACATTTTCATGATCCTACCTTCAGTGGCGTCTTTAACACATATATCATCGTCTTGCATGATAAGAAGAATGTTTGCTCATTGTAAGCGATCGCCTTCTTATCCCCATGAGGAGTTCCCTTTTGGATCTCATATCCTGGTTCATTGAAATATGGATTCGAATTCAAAACAATCGCTTGGATGGAGAGCAACACCTGTAACATGGTTGAGCGGGAAGAGTCCCACATTTCTGAACCTCTGCCATGCCAAGTGTTCAAAAGACTAAGACAGACCTTCCCATTATTGTAGAGGTTTGGGTTCAGCCGAAGCCCAAAAGAATGATAGAACACTTCCTGCAAAAGTGGAACCAACAGTTAATTAAATATTACAGTAATCATAACAGGGAAAGTATTCCATTACTGTACCTACTTACAGGTGGTGTTTGAGGATAGTTTGAAGGATAGTGGATGTCAAAGAAGAATAGGCCATCATGGTATGGAGTCCCAGCTGGTCCAACAATGGCAGCCCTCATTAAATCCATCCTTTCTTCACAAACTCTAACATAGATTGTATCTGCCAAGGTGGGAAAGACAGCTTAGCAATCAAATCATATCCACATAAATTGATCGATGCTGGAAAAGCACACTTATTGATCAATGCTCAAATATATAAAGGAGCGAGGGCAAAGAGAACCGGTCATAATCATGTTCATAAAGATACTTATGCACGAGTGCCCTCTGTCCATAACACACTTTGAAGTTCTTAACAATTCTTTATATGCATATTTACGTGTACACAAGTATACGTAGACTTACATATGTGCATGGAAACATGCATGTTGGGAAATGGTACATACATAAAAATATACACTTGGTTCATAAAGGATACCAACATTATATAGGTAAGAATTTTATGAGTTCCAGAACACGACATGCATAGGCTGAGACAGTCTTCCACTAGATACAAAATAACATCATAACAAGAAAATAATGGATTCTCCACAGGCCCCATATTAAAACACCCATCCAAGAAGACCCAACAAAGCCCAAGAAGCAACTTACCTGCAAACAACTCTCTTCCAACAACCTCTCCAACCTCTCTTCATCCTGGAAATTGAGAAACTCACAAACAAATGACAAGGCTCCGAGATTACTTCTTTCTCATCCCAAACACTAGATTTCTCTTTCTAGAATATCACCAAGGTTTCCTTCTTCAAAATCCTGGTTTATTCTCTACTCGAAATAAAGTTTCTATCAGGCTTCAGAAGCCCAACATTTCCAATGTGTCATCTTCAGACCTACTTTGGGCGGAGACCATAAACCATCATCAGATCAAAGAATGTTGTAGCTTTATTTCTCACACCCGTAAGAAATATTTTAACAAAGAACGAATAAAAAACAACCACCATGCGCCCTTTGCATTGTAAATGTAAAGATTAAAGAAATATATTCAGAAAAACCACATACATTAAGTTCCCTCTTACAGTACAAAAAAAGTAGAGGTGTACATGGACTAGAGAGGTAGAGAAGCAATGAATCAAATCAAAAGAGATGCAAGTCAGACCTCCCAGAAAGAGCATCTCGATAAGTTCACTTAAAAGATAGGGAACCTGCAATATCATTGGCCATCCTACGAACAAGGTTCTAAGTTCCATCTCACAGTACAAAAAAAAGTACAGGTGTACATGGACTAGAGAGGTAGAGAAATCAGACCTCACAGAAAGAGCATCTCTATAAGTTCACTTAAAGATAGGGAAACAAATCAGACCTCACAGAAAGAGCATCTCTATAAGTCCACTTAAAGATAGGGAACCTGCAATATCATTGACCATCCTAGGAACAAGGTTCAAAGTCACTGCTCCACAGGAAAGATTGAGAACGAGCCATCTCCTCAGGCCACCTTAAAAAGTTCTCCATATAACTTTCTAAATCCCCAAATTTTTAAATGACCCACTTCAGTATTTTTTTTCATATTTCCTGCATGTTTCCTGGTTACAAAAACGAGAATATGATGACGAATTCTATGGCTCTAGCCTCACACCTAAAATCTGCAATGTAGAAAACTGCAGTCGGCAACAGCACACTCAGCATCTAGATATACATATATCGTGAAGTAAACCTCTAATGGATAGAAACAATTGCTCTTTAATTTCTAAATGGACATTAAATGTCAGAAACTCATCATTCTTCTCCAGCAAAGGCCAATGTTCAAGAAGATGGGCACGGTCGTGTGGCCGGTCTGGGTCCCAACCGCCCGGGCAGCTGACAGGGCGATACTGTGTGAAAAGAAGGGCAGGGGGGGGATATATTAAATATTTTGAAATATTACTCTTATGTTTGGCTATAAATTTTGAAATATTATATTATGTTTGGCTATAAATTTGTATATTACTATATTATAGCCAAACAAAGAGTAATATTTTCAAATTTGCATTATAAATTAGAAATAAAGCCAAACATAGCCAAAAATATATTATAAAATTTAAAATTCGTATTTTAAAATTAGAAACATAGCTCAAAATATATTATAATCACTAAAATAGCAAACCCTAAACAAAATACTCATGAAGTTTCATCATAATTGTAAACCAAACTTCAAGAACAAATACAAGAAAATGATTAAAAAAGTTTAGCATAACACAATACTCACAAAAATATGAAACACTAAAAACATTAGCCTTTGTGACACAAATCAAGTTCTCTTGGGTTTTGGGGGCCAAAATGCCACCCAAATACAATTTCCCCCCTTGAAAACAAGAATTTTGCCCTTTTGGCAAGGCCCATTTTCGGGCTTTGCCAAAAGGGCCCTAGGCGATTAGTTGGCCACCCAGGGCCACTGTCCCGAATTGGGCCATATAAGCCCAGGGCAGGGCAGTGAGACCTCCCAGGTAACTGGGTGGCAGACTTTTTGAACTTAGGCAAAGACCATGTTATATGTATCTTTTCTAGCGTTAATGTATCAAACCCATGTTTAATGTGTTCACTTTCTAGCATATGTACACACAGGTTAGTCTGACAGTATTTAGTCATTTGCATAACCCAAAATACCTCCTATAAAGGGCTCAGCCATTCAAAGAGCCAATAAAGATGTAGCTCTTTCTCCTCTCCTTCTTTCTTCAGGCAATTGAGGAATGTGATGTGATCATTTCATCCTCACTGCACAAGTTTTAGGTTCTCACTCATCCACTTCGTTCTTCTGTTCCTTATGGCACTCATATTGATAGATTAAGAGCCACATACCTTTTTAGTTTCAAGCACTACTTTTTATTTGACTAGTTGAACTGGGATTGCAACTCAAGAAGACATCTTCCCAGCACTTACACCCGAACCACTAAGTCAAGTTGCCAAAATTATTCATAACCATAATACAAGTACCCAAACTCGCTTTCAAGCTTCCACATAGTTTCCATTTGTCAATCACCCTTTATTGAATGACATTGCACACAAAAAGACCCATGCAAGCGCATGTTTAGATCACCACCCGATGCATATAAACCACATGCATAAGCTTTCACACACAACAAACACAAACAAGTGCATGGATTTGTTTAAACAAATTCTTATGTTATACATTAAACAGTTACAACTTTAGGGATAAAGTTTCAAAGCTCATTGCCTGCAACATGCATAAATATGAAAAGAGAACATGCATAAATCAGGTATTAAGCAACAGATTAACAAGATCATTTTCGGAACAAATGTTTCTCACTGGGAAAAAGGAAATGCCTCCAAAAGGATGTTCAACATAGAAAGACTTTAAAAAGATATTAAACATGTGATAGCCCTAAGTGAATAACCTGGTAAATCTTTCTCCAGGATGCTCCAGTCTTGCTGTATTTTCTTTGACCAACCTTGGCTTGTCTGAGTCTATAATAAAAAGAACAGAGCCAATTTAACAACAATCCACATAAAAACACCCACATGTAGTCCAGAAGCCTGAAGTATTTACTTCCCCTTTAAATATTTGAAATAACTATATTACCCCTAAAATAGTTTTTAAAGAATACTATAGAAGTTAGTGCAGAAAGACAAATATATGAATTTACAAAACCACATTTGACTAAAACACCCTCATTCTTCCGTATCTTTAAAGTTGGAAGAGTATAAAACCGTCATTTAGAAAAACAATTTGACAGGTCCAAGGCTGTCATGATATTTTGAGTTCTTGTGGCACCTGACTGGTGTTCAAGCTAGCCATGATATTTCTTCAAATGCAAACAAAGGAAGTTTCCAACCTACCTTAGCACGTTGTTTTATACTAGCACCCCATACTCCGTTAAACAAGTTCGTGGACTGGTTCCCTGAAAAATAATGGTGGTCCAAAAAATCTTTAACAGTGTCAAATTGCTTGAATTTTGGTAAAGCTTCCCCAATCTTTTCCTCCCTTTTTGGAGGCAAAGGAGGCAGCAAGCTACTTGATCTCGTTGTTGCCCTGTCACTGCTCTGAGCCACATTCTGGTAATTCTTCACCCAATGAGGCCCATTCAAGTCCAACTCCACAATTAACTCTGCAAATTAGAACCACCAACACCATGTGAGTGACCAGCTCTGCATGATAAGATGGGTGAATATAATCGAACATTTTTAGATAGTTACACAGACCTTGGCTTGGCATAGGGTGATACATTTTTATGCATTGATCAATTGTTTTAGGAGCCTTGCCTACTGGTTCCTGCGCAATCAAATTTACAGAGCACATTATAATTTTGTTGTTTTTTTAAAGCAACAAAGCACATTATAATTGATATCAAAGAAAACATTTGACCTTTCCCAATCCTGATTTTAGGGGCCTTAGGGGCAATTTTTTCACTCCAAATTTGGTGCCCCGTACCCACACCATCCTGATCCTCACTAAAAAGATCGTGGAAAGAAATTAAAAAGATGGAAAGAAAAAATTCCGCTTTTAGGAGAGAGGAAATGCAGCGACAGGGTCTGAGATTTTAAGAGAGGAAAAATGGTGTTAAATCCCCCTATGGGGGTTTATTTAACCCCAAATTTTGTAGATTGCGTCACCAGATGAATAGTTTAAAAAATTAATATATGGATAAATAAATTAATATCAAGGTCTTAAAGGGCTAGATTGAACTTACTAAGCACAAAAATATCATTTTTCAATTCTAAATATTCTACAAGAGCTCCTTTGTAGGAGCAAAGAGGATGTGTGTGCAAACTTTTGCATGAAAACCTATGTCTTTAGGGCCCACAAAATGAGTGAGGGCAGACCAATGTAGCCTTCCACCCAAGGGCAGACAAAACGTTTTCCCTTGATATGAACCTAAAACTCATTGATTAAACCCTCTTAATCGATGACCACAGCCAAAAATGTCATCAGTCAATTGCATTACAATCTATAAGGTAACCCATTGTCCATTAGAATCATCACAATCCAATAAATTGACGAATGGTTGTGGAGGAGAGTAGGGCCACCAAAACAAGATGTGACTCAAAGGTAAGTCACATGAATGCCCCTTCAACATCCATCATTTCAGTGGACAGCGATTACCCTAACAAACCATGGTTCTCCATTAGTGCATTGGATCATAGTATATATTCCAGAGTATAAACAATGCTAATGAAAGCATGGCCTGACCTTCTTTTCAGTCTTAAAGGAGATGGATGAGTCCCACTCAAGAATTTGCATGCACATATCATCATCGAGATCATCATCGTCAACTTCCTCAACATCTTCGTCTTCATCAATTTCAATAATGTCATTCTGATCATCCACGATGAGCTCAACATTTGATCCGTATGGAACCTTAAACAGAAAGCACCAAAACACAGAAAATAAAAATAACGAAAGAAAAAGAACCATTTAAATTTAGTAGATGATCTGCAACAATTAATTATATTTATTCCTGCAGCAAAGAGGCCTCTTGTTCCTAAATACTTATTCATGGAAATAAATACTGAAAAGTACATAGAGAATAATATTGAGGATTGCTGTTTGCAATTATGTCATAGTTTTTTTTGTTGTTAACTGGGGACTGATGATGGAGAATCAACATGTCACATTGTGGCACCCGCTACCCTGAGCACCTCGGCCACCCTAGAACACATTCTCAATTATGTTATAGCTATTACCACCAAAAGAATATGTGCTAATATTAAAAGCACTGGCTCCCTAGAATCACCAGTCATCTACATGGGTAAGAAACTACAAATAACAACAACTGTACAAATAGCATTCCCCTAAACCAACTCTGAGATGTGAGCCAAATAAGACAAACAACACAGCTTTAGAAGACTTGACCATACGATTTACTCATATATCTACTTTTACTATGACATCCATGATGTTTATTTCATGAGCAGAATATCCACAGAGTGGACTTCCAAGGCCTTTTTTTGGTGATACGTACGTTGATTAGTGGACTCTCACTCTTCCTCTACAAACACCAGACTGTCAATTTTTTACAAAACCATTTCTTATTAATAAACATTTCCTCCTTAGCAAGTTAGCATTCAGCATTTAAGGTTAGGTCAGAACTCCTAATATGTATCTCTCGTATGCAATGAGTCAGAACTTCAAACATGAGACATATGATCTGGGCCCAAGCTACTTTTATTTACACGCTAGTGGCTTCACTACATACTGCAAAATCATTCTCTCTAATTGATCCCAGGTTCACATGAAGCTCGACTCAGTAATGGTAAGATAAAAAAGAAGCATCAATCCAAAACAACCAAAGACAATAAAGCTACCAGTCACAATATGATCGCAGTGATAAGTAGGCCAACCACATGCATAATCTGAGTGTCATGCATAATCTGAACGTTAATTATGTCTATCCCAGGCAATTACATAAAAAGGCAACAATTAATATCAGAAGCACCAATAACAGAGTTACAGGGTTACAGTCTCTGAAAAGAACAGGATTACAGTTATCAATATAAATAAAACCTTCCAAAATTGCATTTTGCATATAAGTCAGCAAGCCCTAGACTAAAACTAACTCTTGGTCATATTGATAACACAGATACGCTACATTTAGGCATTAAAATATATTGTTGCAAAAACTGCTAATGTGATCACAATACTTTAACAATGCCGTAGTATACTCCATACAGCAATGGCACAAGAAAGACACATAAAAAACTAATTTTTCTTGCTGAAAGATGATAATTGCTCATGAAGTGGATACAGCGCATAGTGAGCCCCAATACAACCCTGAGTTTGAAGTGTTTCAGAAAAACAGTAAGAGTAAATAGACAAATTACTTAAAAGAAACAGATACCTCCTTCAGCTTCCTCTTCTTATTATCAATTGGAGAGTCAATGCTCACGCCCTTTGAACTTGCACCCATCTCTGCCGCCATGTGGGGGAAATTAGTCGATGAATTCCCAATTATCAATTTGGAGAACCTATTTCAGAAAACAATAAAATAAGTTAATTATCGACTCTAGAATAAAAATGGACCATTTTTTTTGTCAACCAGTAATGAGAATATCGGTGAAATATGCAGAATTAAGAAAAAAATGCATAAGAAAGAAGTTGGGGGAAGAAATTAAGCAGAATAAAAGACCAAATCGAGGGATATGGATATAGATATCACTGATATCAAGAGAAACAGCAAATTTTCCTCTGTTCTTGTAAATGACTCAAAACCCCAAAAAGTAAAGAAGAACACAATTCAGAAACACAACGAATAACTAAAAAAAAATAGTATCGGTAAAAAAGAAATGGAAAATGTAAAGAGAGAAAAGCATCGCATGAGAGATAAGAATCCAACAAAAACACATACTCATCAAATACAACAGAGACCGTAAACCAGAAAAAAGAAAACCCCCAAATTCAGAAACAAAGTTCGAGAAACTCCTTCAAAAATAAAAGAAAACCCATAATCCCCAACAAATGATCGTGATCAAAATTCCCAACAAATGATCGTGATCAAAATTCATCGCAGAAACGATGTTTTCAAATTAAAGAGGTGAAACTAAGTACAATTTATCAACACATAAGCTGGTATTTACATGGGCTTCATCGCGAATTGCACTCAAACCCAAAACTCGCGTAAAAGACGAAGAGTCGAAGAGACAACAAGCAAAATGGGGTATTTGCGAGGAGCAGATTATAAGGAGAGAGAGAGAACCCTGAAAACGGCGAACATTTATTGAGAGAGAGAGAGAGAGAAAGGAAAAAAAAAAAAAAAAGATTTTAGAGAGAGAAAGTAAAGCACATTTCGCGATTGCGAGAAAAGGGAAATGGGAATGGACTGAAATTAATATTTTTTGAGTGTAGTACTGAGTGAGATGAACAATTCGAGAGCAAGAGAGAGAAAGTGCTTCTTCGGGTCAATTTAGAGAGAGAGGAGGAGGGAGAAAGTTTTGGAAAGAGTGAGAAAGGAGGAGAGATCACTCAAATTTTCACTTCTCACTTTGACAAAAAAAAAAAAAATTCGGTTGGTAATGCGCGTAAATGTCCCATAAAATATCGGTATTGGCCCTACTGAAAAGTGAATGTTAAAAGAGTAGGGACAGGTTTCTATGCTCTCCCTAAATATAGAAGGTCTATCTTTTCCCTATAAAAAATATTTTAAAAAAAATTTAATAAAACATAATGACCAAAATATTTTTGAAATTTTTAAAAGTATTTTGATCATTTTATTTTATTGAAAATATATTTTTCACTAGTACGGGTTTAATAGAGGATTGAAAGTACAAATTTTGGTGTCAAAATAGTTTATAAAAAAAATTAAAAATAAAATAGCGTAGAAACGTGACATTGTGATTAGGGCAATCTTAGCCCTCCATTCAAAATGGATGGTTGGATAAAAGGGAGGATAGAACTTCTATGCTGATGTAGGGGAGGCATAAAAAGCTTGCCCGAAAGAGTAATCCTATCATTTCTTTCAATGACATTATTAGAAGTAATTTAGAAAATTTTAACAGGGTTTTAGTTAAGATAATAAAATTTGAATCTCAAGATTAAGTGGGGGCAATCGGGCGGGCGATCATGTCCCCTTAGGGCAAGCTAGGCCGAGGTCCTAAGGGCCTGGCTAGGCCAATTCGAGCCAATCTTGGCTTAGCCCGGCCCTCACGCCACATCATGCAGCCCCGCCCCTACTTTTTTAAGGCTGAACTGAACGAATCGGGCCTGGACTGCCAAGCTTATTGCCAGCCCTACTCTAGTTGCTTCTTTCTCCTGGATTTACCTCACTTTTTCAAGTGCCAAGCCTATCTCTCCATTTCGCCATCAAGGGATTGTATGCTATGTAGAGATGGACTTCCCCTTGTCCAACCATCCATTCTAAATGGACAGCTAAGATTGCCCCAATCACAATATCACATCTCTACACTATTTTATTTTTATTTTATTTTTCTATAAACTATTTTAACACCAAATTTTGGACGTCCAATCCTCTATTAAACTTGCACCAGCAAAAAATAAAAATAAAAAATATTTCTAATAAAATAAAATAGCCAAAATACCTTTGAAAGTTTCAATGGGTATTTTGGTCATTATATTTTATCGAAAAAATATTTTTAATATTTTTTATATGTGCATCCCAATGAGAATATGTCACGTGCTAAATTTCATATTCATACAATCTGTATAAAAAAATTAAAAATAAAATACTTTGAGATATCGAATCTAAGATCAAACGGTGAATGGCTATCTTGATCAAAATTGAACAACTGGATGGTAGAGGAAGCATTGATCTTCTATGTTGTATGGTAAATATAGAAACGTTTCCCTGTTTGAATTAGCACGACAAAGAAGAGAGAGAAGCTGATTTGCAATCTTGCTAAATTAGTTTTAAAACATTGAGAGAGAAGCTTATTTGCATTCTTGCTAAATTATTTTTTAAAAATTGAACTGGGGATTAGATTCTAAATTTGAATCTCTAGTTTCTTTGGATTTACCTCGCTTTTTAAGGTCCCCTAAAACTATATTTGCACTTGGCCCTCTTTAAATAAAGAACCTGGTTTCTATACGGCCAAGCCTGCATATGTAGAAATACGGGCCTCTTAATAAATCTATTTTTGAGATAGATTTTAAAACTTACTTTTAAAGACTTGTGATCTCTAACATGAAGATCATGAATATGAATAAATAAATAAAATTTTAAAACTATAAATAATAACTCTACTAATAAAACATTTGAATCGCTAGTTTCCGTTGTTTTTAGATGGAAAACCTACTTGCATCCATCTTTAAGATGGATACTTTATGCTTTTTTGACTGCATATGTAGAAATGCGGTCCAGCCTCATGAAACAATTTCCCTTAAAGAAATTGTGTTTCGTGTAGATAACCTCATGGGAGAACACTAACGAAAAAACTGAGGGAGAGGAGAGAGAAAAGGTGAATAAGTTAGGGGGAGGCAACAAATTGGACCCGGCCCGACCCGTCGGGTCCAATTTTTAGACCCATACCCGGACCTAAGTTGGGTCTACCCTTCGGGTCCCAGGTCAGGTCCATCTCCAATTCCACCCCTACTGATTCTACGTGGTGGTGGTGTTGGAATTATAGGACCTTGTAGAGAGATAAAAATAATATTTTATTTATTTTAGGTGGATCATTGGTAGGAATTGAACTTGAGACACAGGACATTAACTCAGCTAACCACATGAGCCCAAGCCCTAAGAAAAATAAATATTATTTTTTTTCGAATATAGATTGGGGAGTTATATTATGAAGGTGTTATAATTAAAGATGTCAATTGTAGAAATGGATACTACGATGGAGTAACCGGGTGTGGAGAGCTACCACCATGATTACATGCACCCTCTTTCCTAATTATTTTTATTATATGAGAAAGAGAATTCTATGTTTGGCATTTTCTTTGCTGACTCAAGAGGTAGAGATTGTGTCCTAAAGAGTCTTTGGGAAGCAAGAGTTGAAATGAGAGAGGGAGCAATAACCTTTTCAATTAGAGAGAGAGAGAGAGCCGGAACCTTTTCTCTTAAAGAGTCCATAGGAAGCTAGTGTTGAGAGAGAGAATTGGAGAGACAATAAGCTAGTGTTGAGAGAGAGAATTGGAGAGACAGGGTTGGAGAGAGAGGCTCCAATTAAGAGAGAGAAAGAGAATTAGCGAGAGACAGAGAGGCTAGAGAGGGGAAGAGTTGGAGAGAGAGGCTCTTAGAAGCTAGAGAGAGGAAGAGTTGGAGAGAGGGTCTTAGAGGATATATAGAGAGAGAGGCTCTTAGAGGATATAGAGAGAGAGGGAGAGTTGGAGAGAGAGAAAGGCTTTTAGATGCTAGAGAGAGAGAGAGAGTTGGAGAGAGAGAGAGAGAGAGAGAGAGGGTGTTGAGTAAACTTGTACCATACTAAATTGCTTGGGGGCGAAGTTAGTAGGAAAAAGGGTAGAAGAAGCCAACAAGGCAAGGGGGCTTCACAAAGTTTGTCTTGGGAAAAACATAAAAAGTATCTTTTAGTTCCGCAATGCCTTCATCAAATTGGAATCTCCAAGACAAAAAAACAGAAAAGACCAATGCATACCATTATTTATTTTTTGTAGCTTTTTTAAAAAATTTAAGTTGGAAGGGAATTCCAACTCACTTTTAAGAACCATGAGAGATACATTTTCTTGTGACGATTTTCTAGTGGGTGCAGTTTGCACTTTTGTATAGAGCTGAGGCTCTAAACAATCAAAGTCTAGGTCACCTTTGAATAGTGTCGAGAAATGTAGTTGCACTACTGAAAATTTTTGTGATAGCCTTATAATATATTTTCATCTTTAATTATAAAAATTTAAAACTTAAAAAATAGTGTAGAACAAGCAGATTTTTGAAATCTTGAAAATTGACAGTCAAAAAATACGTTACAAGATGCACTATTTCCAAAACTTGAAATCTTTGTTTTTTTTATTTCCATGCATCTTGAGGTTGAGATGACCATTTTGAGGGTATTTGTGCATCAAAACAACCTCTTTTAGTGAAATTCTTGGGTTAGACTCTAATTTGATTGTTTAGAGCCTCAGCTCTATATAAACTTTTCCCCTTTCTTAAAATCATGAGATACATTTTCTTGTGACGATTTTCTATTTGGTTTGGGTGAGAAGGAAATAATTGCAGTAGTGGGGCGGCGATCTTGGATGTAGGATTTCTCACTCTCTCTAAACCCTTTAATTCTCCTATGAATATTTTCTATCTCTCCCTCTCTAGTGTAAACCAGCACTCGAGAAGGAGAGATTGAAAACCCCGTTGATCACGTCGGTCAACAAGAATAAAACTTCCTTGACCACTGTCAAGAAAGGGAAATGAACAATGGTCTTTCCAACCCTAACCATGCCACTGTTACAATAAAGGTTGCAACTCTACACAAAGCAGGGGGGTTTCTCTGTTACACTAAAGTGGTAGGGAATTTTTTTCAATTTCATTAATCAAAAGAACATCAACTATTACTACAACAATGTACAATGTATAAACCCACTTGTAGGCCCAAGCCATTAACTAAGCTACTATTAATAAAACAATAAAATGACCAATCTACCTGTATGACATTTCCCCACATAAATAAGTTTACATGCAAACTAATTTCCATATTGCAAGTCCTCATTTAGACAAACAAATTTCCATGTATAAGAGCTCTAAATAATTGACTAATTTACTCATGGGAACTCAAAATAACATTACTTTTACTTAGACTCGTCCACTACATGGGAAATCTACAGCATTTTATATGCCATTATCTTTAAACTAAACCCAAAATAACCGTTTAGTGACAAATTACGAAAAGATAATAAATAAAATAGGGTTATGTTAGGGTGTTCACACTATGGAGTAATTTATCACTGTACTCCACAATTTTGGATATTTCTATACTCTTATTTTATATAGTGATCATTTTTTTAATAAAGATATTTTTTGTCATTAAGAAAGTGTGATGTCATCCACATAGAGACTCAAAAAAACAACTTGTTCCAGCCAGCCAGCCAGCCCCCTATGTGATTTGCATCGCTCTTTCTCTTACATCCTTCCATGCAGTCAAAGAAAGATGTTTAGATGTTCTAAATAGGACGAAGTTTTTATGTGTCCTAGGACTCATATGCCCTTGATTAATTTTTCCTATAGATTATTGACAAAATTCTTTTGGGTGTATATAATCTCTAACATAGAGATCATGAATGCAAAAAAAAAAGATAAATTTAAAAACCAAAATTAATTATTTTTTTAATAAAATTTTTAATCTTTGCCTTTGCTTTTTCTTTTTTATGAGAGACCACAACTATACATCTACCACAACTATACATCTATCTTTAAGACACGTAAACCACTTTTACTTCTAAATATTGGGCTTACAAACGATGTCTAGATAACCTTGGAGTCATGAAATCTTGATTCCACTGCATTTTGTAGGTAAAATGGGTTAGAAGGTCCATATTTAAACTTATTTTTATGGCGCCTAC